AACCTCAAGTGTACAATCCCACTCACAAACCACTGCTTCCTGTGCTTTGCTCACTCTTTGTGCAAAGTTCTCCATAAACCAAAGGAAGTTACTGGCTCGAAGAAGCACTGCAGGTAGGAGTAGGAAACAGCCAGAAGATTTGTCTTGGGCAGGGGAGAGAGAGGAAGACAGAGAGCACTGTTGCTTGCTTTGCCATGGAGGTTCCCAAGCAGCAAGTGGTTTGCACTGTCATTTTCTAACAGCAGTTTGTGGTTTCAGCTATGAGAGGGACCAAGCAAATGCTGTGAGTCACACTAACCCACTTATTAACCACCTTTGCTGCTGCTCTTCTCTTCTGCAAGAGCATCATGGTTTTCTCACTGAGATAAACACTCTCTCTTTAATCACCCTCTCCCAGAGAGTCACGTGCCAGCAGAGCACTGGTTAAACACTGCTCTGCCTTTTGATGGCAGTGCAGGCTGCTGCACACTTGCCATGCCATGAAGTCTGGTTTCTTTGAAAGCTGAGCTATTCCCACAAAAGTTCTGGTTCCCACATGGATGAATTACACTAATACAGAAAGAAGTGTCATTAGAGATAAGGGAAATTGTCAAATACAGCCTTCCAGAGATATTTCAGATGCCTAAATCAGTGTCTGAAACAGAAGTTTCACATCAAGTGAGTACCAAAACTCATTGAATTAGTTAGCAGAAGTCCAGATAGCTGAGGGGCATGTGCAGCATTTTATAGCACCAGGAGCTTCTCTAGAGGTTTATCCTCATATTTGCAAAAAAAAGCCTAGCCAAGGCCACATTTTGGTCAAACAGGGCAGACCTGGCACCCCTGCAGACGGAGAGGCAGCACTGCAGGAACACCCTGCAAGCATTAGTGTGCAGCTGCAACGTACTCACCAGCAACCGACTAAAGCGCTACCACTTGCACAGCACCTTCAGCCAGCCTGGGCTGCAGTCATCATCTTCATTTTGAAGCCAATTTTTTCAACAAGTAATAATTGGGGGGG